CCAAAATCTATTTAGGTAAATACACTTTCCTACGTGTGAATTTTACACAGCCACACAGGTTTAGGTACCGTTGTCGCAGTGAAAGTTCTCATTTGACTTTAATGCACTAAACACCATTTCCGACGGGTGTAAATTATACTCACGGCAATAATAATTATTATAATATACGACGTCACGGAACATAATATAATACAAATACCTGGTGTTCTGACCAATAACTTGTTTTCTTACTCGTTTTTTTTTTTCTGAAACATAAGTGAATATTTTATGTACCTAATATACTAAACTGTATTTTGGACGACTAGCACAGTCTCCGGACGGGGTACGTTAAGGCAGCGTTTCTTAAACTGAGTTCCGCAGAGATTACTTCAGGATTTCGCAAAGCTTAAGTAATTTTTTTTCAAGATTTTCAAGAAAATTACTTTAAAATATCTAATTATAGATTAGTAGCGGCTAGTGAGAGAAAAAAATGTTTGTACAACTTTCATCGATAAAGCCCAATAGGTATTAAGAATATTTGTATTAATAAAAAGCAATTTCACTTATCTCATTACTAATTAAAATTTGGTTTAATTATAGTAATTTAAGAATTATTATATACAACTAATATTATTTTTATTGCAAATAATCCTAAATAAAGCTAAAAAGCTAAAAAAAAAAAAGTAGGGGTTCCACAATAGAAATGAACGTGTTAAAACATTAAAAAGGATTTCACGGATAAAAAAAGTTAAAGAAACACTGCATTAAAGGTACGAGAAATTGGACACATTAAGGGAGTCATAAAGTGAACATTTGACCAGAGTGGCAAATTATCAAAAGTAACCAACTTCTATACAATTTTAAATTGAAATAAATTGGTTTCTTTCAATTTTTTTCATGATTAGCATTTATCAACTTGACATTATAACTTATAAGTGTATATTCAACTTATGAAATTATTTCAATTATTTTAGCGTAGTCGTGGTAAATCGTCAATATACAGAAATACAATTATGTAACCTAATGAGAGGCAGAAAAAGTTTAGCATACGTGTTAATCTTTAAGAGGATATAATACTACACCACGTGTGTTGTCTACGTTTTACAAACGTAGAACGTTGCAGATTTAATTTAAATAGAACAGATCTTGTGTTTTTAGCTTTGATATTAGAGCGAATTAAACTAAAATAAAACTTAAGATTAAAATATTATCTAAAATTTCTCATTGGATTTTTACAATCTTTTAATTAAACGAATTATGAGTACGTAAATTACTATGAAATAAAAATGCTCATAACTAGCTTAAACTTCCATCGTATAACATGTCTATTACACATTATTTATCGATTTGCTTATATTATAAATGAATGGTAAATTTTCTACATTTAAAAATAAAATTTTCGTAGAAAACCGACGAGGGATAACAGATAACGTTCTTACTTTTAAGTTTGATCACATCCTATGATAGTATGATCCATAGACGACATAGACCATAGGCCAATTCGTTTTAATATAAAATTAGAAATACAGAAGAAATTCAATTTAATAATGGGTCCACGAGACCGTGACTTCTGTGAAAAATAATTATACCTCATATGAATGATTTATTTAATACTAATGACTTTAGTACTTATACTATTATTCTAAAGAGTTTTTACCTGTTTATAAATATATAATGATATAACGTAAAATCACACATTTAAAATACGTTAATAGAGTATCTGAATATTATAAGTAGGGCTAAAATTTATACGCTTAAGTACGTTTTTTTGCAACTTTTGTCAGTTATGTCCATGAATCATCTCATAATAAGATAAACACTGAATAGGTACTGTATATTCTTGCATATTTCGACTATAAAAACGCGAAAATGCATGTTTTATGGTATATTTTGTTACTATATATAGACGTTTTTATTGTGTGACAGTATGTATTGACGCTGTTCAAAAAAACCCATATAAAAATGTAAAAAAACATGTGGTGTAACATACGATCGTTCAATTTTGAAAATTTAAAACACCATGTAATTGTTTTGTATAAATGTAATACATTTGAATAATGTGAATGATTAATTTGCATATTTTATAATTTTTTATTGCATATAAATCCTAGCCCTGATTATATGTATAATATATTATACTAAACTGTTTAATAAGATACATTTTATTTCAACATTTTTTATTAATTTTTAGAAAGTATAGATAGGGCTCACACCTCCTTTTGTTCTTAAAACCACACCATTTCAATGAAAAACTCAATTTAGGTATACTATACATCAATTATCCAACATGATTATCATTTTAATAAATTTAAAAATGCAATAAAAAACTCGATAATCAACCAACTATTAAAAATGTTAAAATTATAAATACATTTTCAAAATTGGAAAGGATCCGAACTCCTAAGTTCGATCTGGCGGCGAAATGTCCGGGTTTCTAAAAATAAATTCCACTAAACCTTTTTCTTTTTCTTAATCAAACGTAACTAATAAATACTTTGAAGGACAATTAAAAATAATACGAACTCAAACCTGGATTAATGGGGGGGGGGGGGAGCAAGGGGCACAATTAGGTTATAGGGCTCACTGATTTTGAGGACCTATCTTTATTTCCAACAGAAATATATATTTTTAATACGTTTAAAAAAGTTAAAAAAAAAAATTTTAGTGGGTACAATAGATAATTAATAATCATAAAATAAAAATGTTCTTAATTTTTTATTATTACAAAAAATTACTAAATGATAATAAATATTAAATTGTTATTCTAATAATTGATAGCATATTCTTGATCTATTTGCATGAGGTGTACATATATAATAAAAAATAAAAATAATTATTCGGCTGAAAAGGAATTTTCCAAATTAACAGGAATAAAAAATAAATATAGAACAAGTCAGACTAAGAAAAATTTAACATCATTAATGATATTATACTTGGAAAATGATAATCTGCAATTAATCGATCTCAATGAAACTATTCGATAATTTGCAAAAGAAAAACCAAGGGAAACAATTTTAATTATTATTATTTTTAACTAATACAAGTATATCCAGGATTTGTGGCGTTGGCCTTACAACCATGTACCATTTTCTAGCTCTAAGGGCTAATTACGATCCATGGAGGTTCAGAATCATTGAAACGATTTCTGTTCGTTATATGAACCACCAACGACGGGCCTAGGTCCGTGCCTTTCTGATTATGGTCGGTTTTCACCTTAGGGTCCTTCCTTCCACCAAGGTGGAATGGTTTGTTACTATGCTAGCTTTTATTTCACAGCCACCACGTTTCAGTCGAGGTAGGTTCCTCAACATCGAGGTTTCAGACTGCTATCAGTCCTAGGCTTGATGGGACTTCTCTCTCCCGTGGTACCGATTAGTTTGAAGTTGACATCGGTTGGTCAACCCGAGGCAAGCCTTTTCCACTATTTTTTTGACAAAATACATTATAAATTACTACAGAACTATTAATTTATATAGCCTTGTATACATATTTTTTGTGCTGACAGAATTATACAATAAATGTCAATAATATGGTTTATAAAATTTAGTGATACAATTTTTTTAAAGTTTAAGTTGAAAGGAGGTCCACTAAGTTTATGGTGTCCTGGGGCTCAATCGATCCTTGATCTAGGCTTGTCCGAATTATGAACATTTTTGAATTATTGAAATTCAAGGTATAGCGACTAGACAACAGTATGAAAGTTATATACCTATTACTTTTGGGCAATTAGTCATAGAAAATGAGCCTGTAAAAACGTCTGTTGCATCTGACGTGTAATTTTACACACGCCTATAAGCAATAACATATAGGTATTATCTACAATTAATACTTAATAAGTATGTGCATACACGTACTCAACAGTTAGATACGTTTTTACGTGTAACGAAATAATGAAATACACGTCAATCACACGGAACAATCGACGGAATGCACCTGGTGGAGAGCATAATATATAATGTACCATTATCTTACATGTATAAAAGATATACATACGCGTCGGGAAACAGACGTTTTAAAGTGTTAAAAAATAAATACATTATACACGTATGTCACAATTAACGTACGTGTACCTATGTATAATACCTATCACTGCAGGCTACAGAGTAGTTGTGTTAGACAACAGTTAATATTAAGAGACACGCCTTTAGCGTTCAAAAACCAATAAAATAAAAGAAATATATTATATTTCAAATTGAAATCGGATCAAAACGATAGTTTGTAAACACAACCGATTACTGAATGGTCGAAACGTTTACCACTTCTATATCTCGGTTGTATATCATAAAATAACAGTTCTCTTACCAGAGCTTAGACAAACCAAAAACAAACGCACAAAATACGGCGATAGGAATGTGCTTAACTCCTTCAATTTTTATTTAAAAATGAATACTTATTATGGGAACCATGACTAATTTAAGAACTAAATATAGATATAGTAATTTTTATTACAAAAGCGTTTCATTACACCATAATAAAATCTTATTTATTTAAACGAATAACACCTATTTGAAATTACATATCAATATAACTTCACTTGAATGATAAATATTAATACACTACAAACATGACCTAATACATATGTAACGTTTTCATAAAATTTTAAATCATTTCAAAAGTAATTACAGAACAAGTTAAGAAAACTAATATGTATGTTTTACATTTTTTAGTATTCATGATATATCTATATTTAATCTTACATAATAGTGTATAATTTTTAGTAAAAATTATGGAATTAAAGATGTGATTTCGAAAACTCAAGAGTAGATAAATTATATATCTAATAATTTTAAAATTTTTGATTTTGTTTAATTAAACTTTCTGTTCAATAATTATAGAAAACACCAAGTATGTTTCATAATATAAAAAGCGTAAGTAATATAGTTTATTATGATATTATAAAAATATAGTACAAAATAAGTGCTACTTTATTAAAAGAGATAATTATGTCATACAATATCAAACTAAATAAATAGAAAATTTAGGCATAAAATTAGGTATAACAAAGAAGACAAATTTTACTTAACAATACTCCTTATTCCTTCAATATTAAAATATTATTTAAAACAAAATGTTTTCCCTCATATTCGTTTAGCTATTTTTGGGTCAATATATTCAAAACATTTAATATTTATAATACATTTGTCTTACTATTTTTCACTATTAAATAAAAAGGTTTAAGAATTTAAAAACATATTTATAATGAAAAAAATGTGTATTATAAAAATATATGTTGGTATTCAGATGATTATTCTTCAAGATTCTGAAAAAAAAAAATGAAATTTTTTAAATTATGTATGTAAGTATTTAGAAGTGGGATGATTTTTTAATAAATTATGACAAAAATTGTATGGAATAATTAGAGGTCAGATTATAAAAAGTTAATATTATTGATATGCTCTAAAAAAAATAAATATTATTCTAAGATTCTGTTAAAAAAAAAGTATAAATTAATCAACAACCAATACATGAAATTTTTTCATGTTTTTTTTATTAAAATACAAATGAAATCACGATTAAAAATTTCTTAATTATTTAATAGATACATTGAATGAGCATACAAAATAAGCTATTATTAAAAAAATGTATTAGGCACTCTTAATTTTAAATATTATTCTTAAAAGTGTTAATTTAATTTTTAAAATTATAATATAGCAATAATAATAATATGAATGATCAATTTTTTCAAAAAATTCAATTCAATTTCTCAGATTAAATGAAATAACATAAATGAAATAGAAATATAATATAAAACAACTTCATTACTAGAAATTTTGTTTAATTTGAAGCCTCAACAACTAGAATACATGAAATTTTGATTTTACTCCTCTAAAAAGTTATAAAACAATCCTTTAGCCCTTATTACTAGTCTATATACAACTTCATTACTAGAAATTTTGTATAATTTGAAGCCTCAACAACTAGAATACATGAAATTTTGATTTTACTCCTCTAAAAAGTTATAAAACAATCCTTTAGCCCTTATTACTAGTCTATATTATGTAAGATACCAAAAATCCAGACCCACACTTAATTACATAATAAATGTTAAATATTATAAATAAGTGAACAAAAAAAAAAAAAAAAACTAAAATTAAAAATATGAATGCTTAAGAAATTAATTTTCGATAATATTTGTACATATAAATGTACATGTCACATTACTAATTTAATTTCCTAATTCATAATAATAGTATTATAAAACAGCTTTGAATGACTTAAATAAAATATAATTAGTTAGTTATAATATCTTAGAACTTGGAAGGCTTATGAAAATTAAAGAATTGACCTATAATTGTTTATTCAGTGATAAGTGACACAAATTCTAAAATAAAAATGTATTGATATTTTTATAGCTAACATTGTACTATGAAATAAATACTATACAAAAATTTGAGTTAACTTACTAAAGTTGTTCAGATACAGAGTTTAAACAATTCCTATTTGGACGAATTGAAAACCTTGGGCTGTGTGGTACAGTAATTGGTCTTACAGATTTTCTTATTAAAACTGGTTTATATTTTTTAATTGGTTCTGGTTTATGAATAGTTTGTTGTCGCATATTTTTGATCAAATCCATTTCTTTCTTTTTCATTTCTTCTTGTCTCTAAAATATAATAAATATATAAATAAGTTCATCACAATAATGTATAGAGCCAGTAGGATTACCATTTTTGTATTTTCTTCATATTGTGAAAATTTTTCTTTCATTTCAAGTTCAAAAACCATCCATTCTTGAGCACGTCTTTCAGTATTCAAACGTATATTTTTTGGTTCAGTATATTTTTTTTCATGTTTAGGAACAAATGGTTTTTTTTTTAAAACTGTAGCTGGTCGAGCTTTAAATGACCACTGTTGATCTGTACTTTTCACACTCTGTAAATTTACAATAAAAATAATTACATTTTCTGTTATCTATCACTCTTTAGTATTATAGTTTTTAAAAATATTATTATACTTGAGGTTTGGTTGTACACAATTTACGAGATTCAAAACTAAAAGGTTTTGGAACAGTATGCAATTGTTTTTCTAAAACTTTGATACCACCATGCCCAAGTTCTTTATTTTCGACCACTTGAACTCCACCTTGAGAGTTGAGAACTTTTATTTTTTGAGGTTTGTTAAGCTAAAAATTATAAAATAATAGATTTCTAGTATAAAATTAAATGAAAACAAATTGTATTACCACTTTGACACTGCTTGTAGGAATATTTATATTTAGGTTATTATAAATCTGTTTGTTTTCATTACTGCTTCTAAATTAAATTAAAAATCAATTAAAAAAAAAAAATTAAAAAGTTTCAATTAAAATTACTTACTTTGTTGATTTATTTTCAATAATATTATTAGTATTATTTGAGCTAATACTTGGCTCAAAAGCACCAGGGAAAAGACTTCTAGATTTGAAAACCTTTGAACCTAAAACAAATTAAAATGATCAAATCTATCATATTTAATGAAGATATATTACAACATGTTTTAGTTATTGTAGTATTAAAGTAGTAAATTTAACAAGTTGCATGCAATAAAAAATGATTTAAACATAATAATATGAAAATTAATATTAATAGCATATTTATTTTAATAAAGCAAGTGTCTGTTACAAAATATAAACAAGAACTACCTACTATAACAGAATTGTATGGGCTAATAGAAAGCAAGAAGACGCTAAACGAGCACCTGATGAAAGCGACTCACCAGCTGAGACAGTGGGTTTAGAATGAAACCTAGGCGGTGTGTTGTTGAAGAAATTCCTGACTTTTTCAGCAATACTCATGAATTTTTTTGAACTTTTATCTAATATAAGATTTTCTTGCGAACCTGATTTAATGTGTTCATATTTGTACTCGGATTTAACAACAGAACGAGTACGCAAATCTAATTTAGGTGTGTTTTCTAATTCATCTAGTCTGGTAATCATGGCATGATGTTTGATCCGTGGTAATTCTACTTCTATTCCTTCCACAGTAATTGAATGTCTATTATGTAATTTTGATGTCCTTGACTTTTTTGCAGAACGAATCAACTGATGAGCCAATGAACTGTAAAATATAACTGAATATAGTTAAAATATTTGAGAATAATCTTAAATTTAACTAGAATTAAAAAAATCATATATACATATAAACATATACTGAATTATACAGTACTTAATTTTTTTTTATGTAAATAGAGTATTAAATGCATAAAATTTAAGAAAAATTTGATAAATAAAATATTTACTTGATATTTTGATCATCAAACTGATCATCGGGTGAAAAATTTTCCTTATTTTCTTCTAAAACATCACTGTCATTCACAGTTGATTTTTTTACAATTCCCAAATTTGGTTCAGATTTAGCACTTTCCAGTTTTTCAACAATGTCTAATCAAAATGTAATTATTATTTACTACAAATTTATGTGGATATACAAATTATGTGGTGTTCAAATTAGATAATCATTTAAGAATCATGAGAATATAGGTACCTAATGATCAGTAATACTAATATCTATCAAAATAAACAATTAAACATATTATATGAAAAGAATAAAACATGTAAATTATTAAAAGTTTGAAATTTAATATCTTAAAGCACCTACTATTAATGAAATATATAATTTATTGATTTAACACATCTGACCAAATGATTTTCATCAAATGACAAAAAAAAAAAAGGTATGAAGCACTATGTATCCTACACTTAATTCCAAGAGAGAAAATAACAATTTTGTGTGACATGTTTCAAATGTTTACCCTTCTTTCTTTAATATGGTTTTCAGCCATTGTATAATAATCTCTTTTCTAACCACCAATTGCTTCTTGGTGAGAAAAAAAATTTAGACACACAAAAATTAATCATCATTAAGTATCTTCTTTTTTAGAACAGAATACTGTTAATACACTTTATGAAGTAAATAATTAAGTATAACTCAACAACGAAAAATAAATAGGTAGATATATAAAAAATCAAAAACATTAGTTAGTTATAGCCCAACAGATTGTAGATAGAAACTATAAAAGTGTTGGATCTATTTAATACCAATGTTAAATTATATTGTATAACTATGTTTATTTCTATAATTAATTGGGTATTTTAATAAATTATCTCAATTAATTAAAATAGGTAGGTAGTGGAATTGTTGTTGCTAACTTTTATAGGATGAAAACAGCTATGCACAACTTTAAGCAAATATTTCGAATAGGATTGATAGTATATTATTCCTTTCCATTTGAAACAGGTAATTTAATAGAAAAAAAATAATCAGCTTTTCATTGAGGAGTACATACAGTTAAACGAAATCAACTTTTTCGAACTTACCAAAAAATCTGTCAGCACCGTCATCTTTAGCATTTGCTATCTCGTACAAATTGACGAACGTCTTGGGAGCGTCGAATTCAAACAATTCATCGTCTTTGTTCATGGTTCTAAACTTCGAATACTTACCTGCAGAAACACGTCTGTAGATTCTTTGACTACAGTGACGACGAATAAATTTTAGATTTAAAAAATAATAAGCAAAATAGAATATCCAAGTCCACGTTAAAACAATGTAATATTGAGAATAATCGAATAATGGACAGTGATGTCACAGTTTAACGAAACGATGCGAGATACACCAGGCTTATCTATACAAAAACAAATGTTCAATATGTAGTAGCATCGATTAAATACTAACATACAAGTGACAAATGTTTCACTATTGTTGTTTTAGATATGTCTTTTAGTTTCTTTAGCCCTATAGGAGACACGAATAAGACGGTACAACACTTCGGTGGAAATTCCGTCAGTTAATCAATTTGTTCGTTATTACGAGCCTTCGAAAAAGTACCTGTAACCCGATTGGTTGTTAGAACGCATTGCTGCCAATAGACGCGCATGATTTTAACGGTTCGAGACAGTGACAAGGAGATTATACATTTAATATGTGTATTGTGTAGTGTGTAACGCCTCAAGACCACGTCAAAGGTAAAAATTAGTAAAACATCAAAAGTAATCTAGACGGCATAAACGTAATATTCATATTTCGTATATTAATTGTTAATGAAAGGGCAGAAACGATATAATATTTAATTTCAAATCTTTATATTTTATACTTCACGGCTATGAAAAAAAAATGATATTGAGACCATAACTGCTAGTGGAATAGAGAATATTAAATAGCTAAATACTCTAATTTTGAGACTTAGCCTCTCTAATTATAACTTTTGAATACCTTATAAAATTAAAGTAATGAATAAAACAAATTGTATGATTGTAATTTAAAAATGATTTGTTTCACGTAGGTCATAAATTGTAATACTCACTCATTGACAAACATCGTACTCAATATTAAATCAATATGTTTTTAAATTTTATGCAGAAAAATTAATTCATAATGAACCGTAGAAATAGCAAAAATTGATTAAATAGTATTACAATGTAAATCTGCTTGTTTTATTATTGGTTTTTTTTTTGCACTAATTCTTGTATACTTAAATGTCAAGTAAAATTATTGATTAAATTTATCAATAGTCCTCATTTTCCACCGGGTATTTAGGAATGACATAATATAATTAATAAAATATAATAATTGTAGACTACATGGAAAATAATTATAAATTGCTAGATATTTCATGTTAAGTAAACACTCAACTGTGTACATTTATTTTATGCATAATGATGGTCATTATTGTCCATCAAGAAGTTTACTGTATTTTTACTTATTTAAATCTATCTATAAAATTTGTTTTACCAGTATTGATGATAAAAAAGAATAATTGTAATAAGCAGTAAACACATTTAGAGTAAATTAATATTAACAAATTTTTTTAATCAAATTAGGTAGGTTGGCTAATTTTGGGTGCTATTACTGAATAGCTTCTTCACTCAAGCCAACCATGACCCCTATTATAATATATCATTCCATCTATTGTGCTTATTGTAAATATATTATATACAGATTGTATAAATAAAAATAAATGTGAAAAAAAAAGGTTGGTTAATCAAATTTTTTTTACTAATGTGTGTATAATGATAATAGAGTATGAGAATGCTGTCACTTTAATGAATAAAGATAAAGAACTTTTTTTTTTTTTTTAAATATAAATTAATTTTGTTAGTTCAAAAATAAAATATAATACTTTTATAAAATTAGTAAAATTTTCGATTATTACACAGTATGGAACATACAATTTATTATAAGTGATTATATATTTTCAATAATATATTTAAACACCTATGTATAAAATGTGTATGACATTAAACATCAGAAAATTAAATTTATATCCAAAAAACATAAATATGACTTTCGATGCAATTGAAAATAAGTTTCTATATTTAAATTTAATTATTTTTATTATCTTATCAAATATTTTTTGATGCAATTTCATGTACTTACTAAAATAGAATATTAGATGTAAATAAATATATTTTTAATAAAAATCATTATTCTAAATAACAGAAAGTCTAAATTTCTTCTCAATTAAAAGACAACATTTAAATTCATTTATTCATAGAAAAAAATGATTAGTCTGATGTCTTCTGAATTAGCATTAAATAGAATTTACCTGCAAACATTAGAATCTTTGGTGGCATCTAGTAACCATGAATAAAATTAAAAACAATTCATTAGTATTTTATTTTATATAAAAAAACTCCCCAGTATGAATTATTTAGAATACTCTAAAATATCATAGTTTAATTGTTAATTTTTAAAATATTTCAAACATACCCAATCTGCGTATTCATTTTTAGAATGTTTCTTAAATAAACAGCTTTGAAATAAAATAAAATTTGAATATACAGTTGTAAGATCTTAAAGTAAATAAATGAATGATTTTTAAAAAATAAACAAAACATATAATTTTATTATGTATTGTACCTAAATTACAATTTTTTAAGAAATGTAATGTTAACTATTATAAAATTAAATTTATAAAGACTTAAAGTACACTTATGTTAATTAAAAGACTGTACATTTTATAAAGAAAAATAGGCTACATGAAGCTCGAATTAGCAGCCTTACTCCTAAAATTACTCACTTGGACAAAAATAAATTATATCCTTACATCACAGTCAAATTAGTTTATTTCCACTTATCGGTTTACAAAATATTAATCAGCAACACTTTACAACAAATGTATATATATCAAAAAAAAAAAAAAAAGGACAACAATATAATAATAACTACTTACTGATGCACAACTAATTAAATGGAAATAAACAGTCTGAAATTTAAAAACAATTTAAAAACATCATTTCATTTTTTTTTTTTTTTTATAGCATATTAAATGTATATTTAGTTTTAAAATTAAAAATACATTTATTTCAAAGGAGTGAGCCTGCTATAGTTTTCGATAATTATCATCGAACATAGCCTGACCCACAAGAATATCACAGACATCCAAGCCATTTTGGCTAACTTTTAACTAGTAACGTAATAGTTATTTTTTACATTTTACTATACAAAAATAAAATATAATATCTGTATATTTAGGAATTATTTTATGAAATAAAAATAAGGGATCATTTGAATATAATTCATACAGCATAACCATACTTCTGTTGCCAATAGAAATTCCTTGGGTCAGACTTAGAATAATACACTTAAAAACAAATATAACCACTAAAAGAAAAAACATTATTTAACATATATAATATTCAACATTTAATAAAAAAATGTTGTGTTCTGTATACCACAAATAATAACACTTATATTTGTCTTGTATTATAACAATAGAATGGCACATAGTAGCCAATAAATGATAATTAAATTAATTAAACTCACTAGGACAATATAGTTGTACATCCATTTAATACATATTAATATCATTTTTAAGTTCCAGGTTTTTAACATAAAGCAAATATTTAACAATAAAATGTGTTAATATGTATCAATGTATTAAATTAACGAAAATAAAATATATATGTTATAAACGTTTTGAATATAATCATTGAGGTGAAAAGGTGGCGCACAGTAAGAAGAAAATACTAATATTTTAAATGTTTAATTAATTATTGATATAATTTTTATTATTAACAATTTTTAAGTTTTATTTAAAGAATAATTATAAATGACTAAATTAAAATGGCCAAATACAACAAACACACATAATAAATAAAAAACAGTTATTATTATTACGGCATAAGGCATAAAACATTAGTATATTTGTAATTGTATTGTAGGCGGTAATATATTTTTATTTTATTTTTTTGTTATAATTTTTAAGTTTTATCTATAAACATAAGTAAAATTTCAACTGTTGGAACCAAATCTAAGAAAAATGCATACATTTATTTAATTAAAAAATTGTTTTTAAATAAGTTACACAATTCAAAATATCAAAAATTAAAACATATAGACAATAGTTAAGGTTTTCTTATTTTTTTTTTTTTTTTACCAAAATAAAATTAAAAAAAAAAACATTTGACAGTTTAATGTAGTTAGTATATATAGTTTGATCCAGATAATTCAAGTTAGGATTAAAAACTAATTTATTAATATGTTATTAACATATCTCAAAATACTGTGCGCCATCAAAATATGTTGTCAAATGTAACTTTTTAATATCCAAATAATAACTGTTTGTCTACAAAATATTGACCTCAACCTGTTTTTTAATTAACTATTGTTAACCACAGAATATTATAATACAAATATAATGACAAGAATCAGTTCAAACATTGAACAATTATAATATTATATTTAATTTTTGTTACACAATAAAAACAATGTAACTTACAAAATATACAAGCAGTATGTCCATATTTTACCGAATCCTTCTAACAGGTTTTAAAATTTTTCTTTTAGTAGGTGGCTCAGTTGTTTCTGGTTTGGCACTAAAAACAGAAACTTTTATAGTTCAAATACTTTTAAAAATAATAAAACAAAATGTTTAATTCTTACGTAAATTGAGTAGTAGCTCCACCAGTAAAATTAATTGATATTGGTGCATTAGGATCTAATTTCACAGGTTGTTTCGTGCTTGGTTGATTAAATATACTATTTGATGTACATTTAGTCTGATCTTCATCCTAAAATTATTAATTAATTGTATTTTAATGTTATTATAAACGTATAATAAATAACAATGTGGACTAACCGTTGTAGATATTTTTAAAGGTCCTCCAGCATTGGGAATACTAAATACAGGTGAAGATTGTGCACCAAATGAAAATCCAAGATTCGTTGAATTGAATGAATTAGAAGTTGGAGCTAATGGTTTTTTATCATTGTCATTAGAAGACTTAGAAAAAAAACTGTTGGGAACCTGAGGAGCTAATGAACCAAATGAAAATTGAGGTGTTAGTATAGATGAACCCAATGTAGCTGGAGTCGATGTAGTGGTTCCACTTCCAAAAATAGAATTACTTGCACCAAAAACTGGAGCAGTGCTAGGAAAACTACTACTACCCATTATTGGTGAAGCGAATGATTTGTTATCATTGGTGACTGATCCAAATGTAAACATCTTAGGACTTTTTTGGTCAACGGACACATTTTGATCTTGTTTTGCTAAAGAACCAAAACTAAATAACTGAGAAGTCTTAATCAAACCTGGCTTTTGATCTTCATTCAATGTTTCATTAGGATGTGAATGACCATTTACCAACTGATTTGTATTTTCAGTAGTAGATTGAACAGGCTGAACTGAACCAAAATTCATTATTGGTTTATTTTCAATTTGTTTTGCTTTATTATCCCATACAAATTTCTCCTTAGATAAATCTTCATTTTTATGTCCAACATTAATTAATGAATTTGAGTTGTTGATATTAGTTGCAACAGAACCAAAAGATACTTTAGGACTGGAATTTTCATTTATATCATTAACTTTACGTTTATTACCTTGATTTTGTAATTCTAATGGTTTTTCTAATTCTTCATTTTTATTATTTACCAATGATTTAAATTCATTTGTAGACTGTTTAACTATATTACTATCAACAACAGGATTTTGATGAACAGATTTTTCAATCTCTAACTTATCTGAACCAAATTTAAATTGTTCATTTGGTTTATTAGTTGTGGCATTTAACCCAAACTTAAACTGACTGTCAGGTTGATTTGGTTTAATTTCAAAACCAAATTTAAACTGTGTTTCAGAATTATCACTAGTACTGATATTTGATTCCTCATTTAATTTCTTTGCTGGCAAACTTGATATACTATCAGTACCAAATTTAAATGTATTAAGGGGTGCATCAGTTTTATCATTAACTACACCAAATTTAAATTCATTAGCAGAAGTATCTGATTTAGCATTATCAGAACCTGTAAACAGTGCAGAACTTCCGAATTTAAACTGGTTAGATGGTTGAGTATTTTTACTATTATCAAATCCAAATTTAAACTGACTGGCACCAGAATTTTCAAAAGTATTGTTGTTTAATCCAAATTTAAATTGAGTTGAAGGCAAAGGTTTATTTTCTGGAGCAGACCCAGGCTTTGCTGTTCCACATGAAATACAAGTGGTACAATCACTTTTATTTTTTACCCAACAACCATCACAAGTCCAAGTATTACTTTGTACCACAGTTTTCTTTGTAGTACCAGGCTTTTGTGTTTGACATGCGACACATACTTCTATTTCATTTTTATTGGGAACCCAACAAGTTTCACAAGTCCATGTACTTGATTTAACAACTTTTAATACTGGTGTTTGTGTTTTTTCACACTTGGGAGTTTGACAAGCAATACACTTTAATATATCAGCATCATTTGAAACCCAACAAGTATCACAAGACCACTTATTTAGTTTAGTTAATGACTTTTCTGGTACTAATTGATTTTCATTATTAGTTTCTAATTTATTCGGTAAACTGCCAGAATCCATATTCCCCGACTTAGTAAATTCTAATTTAGAGTCAGAACACGGCAATGCATTTTCTAAAGTTTTTTTAGAATTATCATCAACAAACCTATCAAGGTCTGAGACCTTATCATTTTTATTTAAATTTTCATTAGAAACATCATTATTGGCGATGGAAACTTTTGTAGATTCTTTTACAAAGGTATCATCATTAGAAATATCAAAATTTGATCTAGGAATTTCAGTACTAGATTCTTTACAATTTACCTCTACATTAGTATTTTGTGCTTTCTTCATAGACATTTTCTGTTTTTTTCTACAAGTTTTCTCAGCAAATTGTGAAGTAAACTGTTCTATTGTTAATGGTTGATTGAATGTGAATTCATTATCCTCATCAATAGAACTTGATAAATTGATATTTGGCAATGATGTCATTGGTAGAGTAATCTTGGGCAAATTGACTTCAGTGGGCATTTCCAGTACATCAGACTTCGGAACACGACCCTTTTTTGAAAGATTTACTCGTAGTTTTCTCGTTGCATTTGAATCAACTCGGTTAGAATAATTTGATCTATGAAAATAAGATCATCTTAGTTAAAATGTATTTATTAATCAAAAAAACTTTTTTTATTTATCAGTTACTGTTAGAAGACAAATATTATATTATAAATTTTAAGAATTAAAAAATAGTAGCCACCTCAGTTTATTAGACTTTAATAGACTAGTTCCAATTTACACATAAGTAAGAAATAGGAAAAAATTTGTCTGTTATTAGCTTGTCAACTCAAATATTTAAGTGTTAACTCTGTGTAACTAATTATACCTAAACTTTGACCAAAATAAAACAAAATTATTTTTATAAATACAACTTATTTCAAATATAATCATATCTATCCATTAAATTGATTATAAATAAAGAGGGAATTTCCATGCAATCGTATTTTTTTCTTTTCACTTTTTTGGATTTTTATCAGTTATCTTCACGAATCATTTAATGGTGAAATTTTATTTATCTACTTTTGAATAATTTTACAAAATTTAAAATGTATTACATATCAAATTAAAAATTGTTTATATACATGGTATACTTAAGTAATTAATTATTATAAATTCTTTAATTTGTAAATTGTATATAAATAAAAAAAATTCTTGCATATTTGTTGCATGTTTTTATGATTTTTTACTGCATATTATATGACATATTTTAATACTTTATAATATATAAAAATCCGTGCTCTAGTTATAACTTGTAAATCACCTGTATGGGAAATATTTACTGTGAATATAGAAAAATAATATACCATTTTCATAAAAAGGTACACAAAATGACTGCCTACTATGCTTGTGTAGTGTTACGTCTATAAAGTCATCTGACTACATCATACATGACATTTTTTTGTTGGTTTATATTTAATTTTTAATGTTTTATACAGAAGACAATTTTCAATTTATTTTAATAAATACATGGCAATAAGAATAAGCATAAAATAATAAGAAATCTATTGTTTCAGTAAAGTGAACTTACGAGATTTCATTAGATTTGCAATCAGCTTTTTCAGGTGTTGTTTCAACCACTTTGACAGTAGACTCCACTTTAATAGGTACATTTTTTTGAACTGCTTTATGCCTTTGATGCACTTTAGGTTGAATAATAAATTTATTTTCTTCAATTTCTTTGTTCTAAAATAAATAAGAACAAACTTAACTAGTACTTATTTTAAGTTAAAATAAATTATAGCCATACGTTTACATATATTGAATAAAATGACTAAACCAGGTTTGATATTTTTTATACTATTAGAAAAAAAAATTTTAGAATCTTAATATAAAAGTTAAAATTAAATTACTAACAGTATAAAAATTTTAAATATTTTAAGAGTATTAAATCTGATGATTAAGTCCATGCATGCATTCATTTTCAGAAATTGCATTTATAAGAACATAAAGAAATAATCATTAAAATTTTTTGTCAAATATATATAAATACTGTCAACTTTTGAAAATAAAAAGTATATGGAAATAAAATCTTCATTAATAAAAAAAGCTTTAAGTAATTGATTGTAACTAATAGTCATCACTTAACATACATGGTATATTAAATAATTATTTATATTTAATAATAATTTGTAAGAATACATTAATTTTTTAACTTAAGAACTTTAGACAACTAAATTAAAATACCATAAAAACCTAGACAATATTGTTTTCTATAACACTAACACAAAACGGGAAAAATTTAATATTCAGAAAAATTCATTATACTCCATTAATTTTTAAAGAATTGACAAAATTATTAAATTTAAAGGAAAAAATTTAATCTAAGCTACTTTAAAAATGCTTTTTTGATATTATAATTTAAAATGCTGGTAACATGCTTAAAAATTACTTTTTTAAATGCCCTAAAAATAGTGTCGTTGTTTTTAATTTAGAATTTGTACAATGAATGAAAATATTTTAATAACGAACACAAAATTATGTTTAATTAATAAAAAATAAATTGAAAAAAATTGTGCAATACCAGTAATGAAACTTTGTGTTTAAGATAACATTCTATCAATAATTTTAATGATTTGGTCAATTCATACTAATATTATAAAAAAAGTATATCAAATACTTTTTTAATGTTATCAATATGCATTAGTAAGATGAAGACAGCACATGAAGACAAGGTCCACTTAAATTTATATTTAACATCACGTTCACCAATGATCTGTGATCGTCAGTAGTATGTATAGTTAGGTATGCTTGTAAATAACTGGGCTCTAGAGATACTAATATAATGTTTATATTGACCATTCAGAACCTATTAATTAACAATATGTTGCAGTTGGTTGCTAAACTATAAAAACACATATATTATCAGATCCTGAGCTACTCAACATTATAAAAACGATAAATGAATATCATCTGACGAAGAATTTGATGATAAAAAAAAAAAAAAAAAAAAAAAAAAGATAAAAGGCAAATTTGTCACAAAAAACCATTTATAAGGATACGATAAATTACTGTATAAACTGCAAAAACAACCAAAATTATCTTGAATATTGCCTCAAAGAATACTACCAGGAAATTATATGAATAATGATTTTATATTAATATTATTAAATAAAAATATTACACGTTTGGTAAGAAACCAAAAAAAGCATTATCTTATGAAATAATAAATATTTATTAATTATTATTATTGAAATATTTAATAACATATTATATAATTATCTATATATTGTACACAATTTAAAAATATATCTTAATTTGAAAATAAATGTTAGGATATATGACAATTTGCGATCGACGCCAGCCAGTGTCAATTATGGATCATTGCATATATAATGCTATCACAGTTATGTAGCGTATCGCATTAGATTAGGAATATATACGTGGAGGTGAATGTGTTAATAATGCAATGACTCAGTACATTTCTATGCATTCCTAAATTAATATTTATTTGACTAACCTTAGTAGAAATATGTTCCAGGAGAATAGATGAGGTTGTTCTAATTTCACTATTATTTGTAGAAGATATTGGTATCACTGCTTTTCTATGAATTGGTGGAGTATTACCTAAAATTTTGGATAAACTTGAACGTGCAGAGTTGCCCCCATACATAACTTGAGAACAATTTAAAGGTGACTTTTGGGCAAATAATTTTTGACGCTCTGACAACTGAAAATAACATACATAATTGAATTAAAATAAATACTCAATTCCTAAAAACAGAAATTGATAACTAAAAAATAGAGAACTCACTTCTCCATAATTAACAAATGTATCCCATCTAAATGAAGCTGAAGGTATGTGATTTGTTGATGTTTCATGAAATTTTAGTGAAGATTGTTGAAGCGATTCATTCTCCCCTAAAATTTAATAATAACATAATAATTAAAACTTTATAATAAGCAAAAAATTACTTCTAGTACATTTAAATATCAATGAAATTCTTATTTCAAAAATTAATGATTGGCTGAAATAGCTAAGCGTTTCAGCAATAATAAAATGAAATGAATCAGTCTTAATTGATATTTTAATTTCAAATATTAACTTATAGAAACTTCATAACAGAAAAGTATCATAAAATATTACATTCTATTATTTGTTATACAACATAAAACATAGTTTTCTAGTAAAAAAAATACATTACAAATAATAATAATAATAATAAAAATAGTTAATGAAAACATCCAATACTTTAATAAAACTTAAATTTTGTAAATTAATGTATCATAACAAAAATAAAATACAATAATCAGAAGTTTACAGTTTACAGTATTTATATATTTTAAAATATGTGATAATTTAAGGAGGAAACATGTGATGTAGCTAAAATAAATAGAAAGCAAATTAACATCAGTTGAATTAATAACTTTTACTAAAGTTTTATTTGAACAAAAATCTATCAAAAATAGGAAAACTTACTTGGTCTTATCAATTTTGATGAAGTTGGTGTTAAAAATTCATTACTAGTACATGATTTATCTAAATTTAATGATCTCTTTAAACCTATAAAAATAAATTTAATTTGTCTTAATTTTAAACACGTAAAAATCATAAATTGTATTAAAATGTAACTTGTAAAATTTTTTTTCATTCTAACCAATAACTCAAAATTATTACTTTGTATCATCTACTTATTTCATGCTTCATAAAAATAAATTAAAATATACATTTTATTTAACGTGAAATTGCTGTTAAAAAAATCATCTTGAGCTAACTAAAATACTAGCAATTATTTCCACATAATACTTATTAGCTAGAAAAGAACCATTCAATATTTTAAATTTAATTTACTTTTAACTAAATAAAATTGAATATATAATAACTAATCATATTTATATTTAATAAACATAGCATAATTTAGGTAAAAAGTGTAATTCTATATTTAAAAGAAATAAAAACTATAATACTTACTAATTGTAACTGGTTGCTTATTTGATGTAATTACTGTAGGTGTTGATGAAGCAAAATTGAAAGCTGTTTTTGAACTTGGTCTGTTAATATTTGTCGAATCTACCACATCAGATTTCCTTTTAAGAGCACCTTTATTTAAAATAACACAATAATTTTAGCAATATAATATTATACACCAACAAACCCTAGAAGGTTATTTTATAAAAAATAAAAACTCTTATAGTATGGAAATAATAAAAACAAAACCAATAGTACATTATAAGTTTATACATTTAAACTTATCTATGTTAGTAAATGTAAATATATTGGAAGGGTTTAAATGAGTATAGAAACATATTGGTATAAAAAATATACATTTATTTGTAATTTAATACTTTTTATAAAAAAAAAAAAATAAATAAATAGTATAATGTAAATGCACTATAAATATTTTGTCTTAACGATAATAATATGCAGTCAGATCTTTTCTTATTAATTGTTGTTTGTGTTAGATAAAATATTAGCAAGCATACCAAATTACATTAATTATACTAGTAGTAGTGCAAATGGTCAATATCTCTCAAAATTAAAAAATAAATACCAAATATTTGCAATTTTAAAATGATGATATTGTATAATGAATACTTGGTCTTTGAATATATAAATTACAAAAACTAAAATTGTGAATGAATCAGGGATTTCCTTAAGCATCCTCACAAATACATCCCTAAAAATAACAAGTAATGTGTTATAGACTGCTAATTCAATAATTAATAAAAGAGGTTATTCATTTTATAACCCATCTATTTCAAAAACAAAATATAGTTTATTTTATGAGTTTAGTATAACAAAACACCTAAATGGGTTCTATTATTATTAGCTAAATAACCTATGTTTCATATTTTATCAAAACAACTAAAATTATACTCTTAACTTTTTTAATTGTTATCTAAAGAAACCAGTAAATGCATATTATGTATTATGAAGCAACAAGTGTTCAAAAACCTTGCACATTAGATACTGTTAGAAAAAAATAACAATAATACATAAGCAACTAATCAGATATTTAAGATTCATAGCAATACATCATGAATTAAAAAAGGACAAGTCTCATTAAAAATAAGATAAAAGAAAAAATGAAAAATGCACATGTTAAGAATGAATTATATACACATCAAATAAGTATTGATCATACAAAAACTGTGTACAGTTCTAGCAACATTATAATTTTAGTTTATGTTCAATATCATAATCAATTAAAAGACATTATCTAAAGAAATAGAAATGTAGCAATCAAATCTTCTGTTATTAAAATAGGTTTATAAGTTATAACCATAATGAAAAAGTATTTAATTCATTTTATAACTATTAATTATAAAAAAACAAAATCTTATGATTTCACACATTTGTTTTTAGACTATACAAAGGAATAATTGTAAGATATAAATTAAAGTTTATATTTTAACGATTATTCCATTGTTTATTACCAAACAATTTAATTACAATTAACTAAACTGGCATTAAATGGGCTCTTTAATGTGCAACCGCTTAATTAGGTTACTAGTTTTTTTTTCTTTTAGGTAGTAATTCAACATTTATTCACTCAAGAGATAATTGTAAATACTTCACTAAATGCAAACTAAAATATGTTAAAAAATGTTGAAAATTTTAATTATATTCAATCACCTATTATTTAAATGGATTTTATTAAATAATTAAATAAAATTAAAAAAAAATTTAAATACGGGTATGTCTTAAAGTAGCAAACAAGAAGTTAAATTTAATAAACCTTAAATACACACTCCAATATTTTATTATTAAATTGAGAATATTAAAAAGAAAACACACAAATAATATATCGGTTTTCACATTTTCAAAAATTATCTACTTACAAATACTTTTTAGGTATCTACTTTAAAGAATAATGTTCAACAATAACACTTACTTCTATTACCAATATCATGGCTTTGTAAGGAAGAACTTGAGTGGCTTGTAAATTTTGGACTTTGTTTACTTGTACTTGGTATACAAGTAATGGCAGATATTTCTGGTAAAAGGACATTCACATCTACACAGACGAAAGTACAAGAGTTAAGAAAAAGTAGATATCATAAAACTAATACTATAGATTATAATTTACTTGAACCCCTGTGGTTGTCAGTTGAACTAGTAGGTAGGTATTTGGTGTTTGTAAATGAATTATTGGATGTGCACAGTTTCTTTACTGGAGGTTGATCGTCGTTTTCGGTCACTGACGTAGGGCCGTCATCGGTTTGCGCATCGCTGATTAACGTATTCATCCACGTCATTCCGGGTATGTATGCGGACACGCGTTTCGTGACCCTCCTCATAAAAGACTGGAATATCAAAAAAAAAATTTTTTTAAAAAATCATACAAGGGGACATATCAATCGTCGTGTTGCGTGAGACCATGTGATTGCGCAGCGCAATCGGGCGGGAAAATCACTGGAAAATCATTAGACGTTATATCGCCGATCGAAGAAGAACTGTGAGACGTTTGTTTTCTACTTACGTTTGATTTGTCGTACGGCTTCATGATTCTCAGAGCCTGATCCCATGGACAAGCACAAAAAACTGCACGGCTTAACGTACGCGCGACGCACAGCGGTCGAACAATCGCGAAGAGCGCATAATCAACGGACAAATAAACGAGGCAATCGGAACAGTACGCACTCCGTCTTAAGGCCAATGTCGTAATTTGTCGTTTTAATTTTATGATTATTGTATAAACGTTGATGTTGTTATTTTTATATTTTATTTTTATTTTTATACCCTAATCGTTGTTAACGGAGAACGCGATCGGCACACAAGCGTAGGGACGTGACGGCCATGATGGATAAACTAGATCAGTCCATCGCGCGCGACCAAATACATTGTGACCAATCGAACGGACTGACGACCGTAAGGCCAGCAGCACTGGCCGTGCACTACCGTGATAACGCCGAATACAGTGGACAGAGCGCGACACCATACAAATTCCGCCGTCGAGGAGTTTTCCCCTTTCCCTGCGGTTGATGGGCAGATGAATCTCACCTGCTGCTGCTGATGCTCTGCCCTCTCGATGGCTAGTGGCGGTAACGACGACGCCGATGACCGGTTTGGTTAGATTAACCGCCGGGTAACTTTCGTATTTTTCAATTTTCTCCAGTCGCAAGTGTCACGCTGATACGGTTAGTGCTGTGGTGTCCCGTTGCTTGTCCGCCGTCTGTTTTTTTTACGCGTCGTATTTATCGTTGTAATATTATTTAATATTAATTATTATTAATTTCATCGATCATCTTGATTTTATCCCTGCTGATAATATCATAACTACACTGAAGTGTGCAATTTACGCAATTTATTCTGCAGGGGTGCTCCTCTTCTCTTTGCTGCAAGATGCGGCGATCTTTTCTTCACGTCGTCGTCTTGACGATTACAGGTTAGTGTAATTTACATATTTGTATACATATTATATTATTACATACTCATGCAACCAGTACCGTAACTACCGGTATCCGCGGGAGTGCCAAGATGAGGATACTTCTTCACCATTAAGTCGTATACTTGGCCGATCGGAGGAAATTTGATTATAATATATTTGGTTATAATTTAATCTACTGACATATTTATACTTGGTAAAATTGCGGTTTTTTTATTTCTTTCTGCCAACTTATTTATGAAATATTATATTTTGATTAGTCCGCATAAAGTAGGCTTGCAACTCCGCTGATAAATATTTATTTGTGACAATGTATACAACCTGTAATATACTGCAGTTCTATAAATAATTTATTTATATTATTGTAATTAACAAAATAGGTACACACAATTATTAATTAGATATTAAATTGAATATTGTCGATTTCCTAATACATTTTCTTAGAAATTGAATATATCATGATCATATAAGTACCTTTAAAAAATAACAAATGTAAATCTTATCGAAACATTTTAAAGTCACATCAAAAAAAATTTACCATTTTTTTCCCCAAAGTTAAAAAAATATCTTATTGATCCCCCTCCTTACTATTTTTTTCTTCTAGAAAAGCAAATACTTATTTATAACTATTAATATTGGCCCAAGTTATACCTAAACGTGTTGAAGTAACCCCTATAAATTAAAACCTCTAGACTGAAGTCTACACGAGGTATGATTTTTTTTTTTTTTTTATCAAAATATGAAAATATATGCATTAAAAATTAAAACAATTTCTTCAACATTGTTGTAAATCGTATTTCGTATTTATTTAAAATACAATTTATTAGACTCAGTTAAAATATTTAACGTCTAAGAAATTATGAAAAATATTATAGCTTCACTTACGAATTTTACATTTTATATGGGTACATTTTTCATATCATTACCTCATAGTTTTATCATATTAATGAATTTGTAAAAAATAAGGTATATGTATTATGTACGAGTTTACTGCAACGTCTAGATATAGCGAAAAGTGAAACAGTACGGCTCTACCTTCACGCAGTGTTATTGCGTTTAGACGCTATAGACTAGTTGTTGAGTCTGTACTTAAGATAAAAATTCACATTTTTGTACTACTAATTACCGCATATTATGTCTATTGAACTGATCACTTTAAAATTTACAAAAAAATAAATTTAGTCCAGTGACCAGTCTAATCCATCCAGGAACTATAAAAAAAAAAAAATTTGATTTAAAATATGGGATGCTATGTATTCTATTTCTTACTTATACCTACTTACCTACGTACATAATATATAATTTTAATAAAAAAATGCTTTTATATTTTTATACAAGGAACTTACATATTACTATACTATAAACTACATTATATTCCTATATTATAAGTTACAAAAAAAAAATAGAATATATCAGTACAATTTAAAACATATTATTTGTACGAAAATTTGTTATATTTCACTATTTTTCTATTATTTACGTAACTTAGAATTCAATCACGTAAAACTTAGTGTAACTTGTGAAGAAATAAAGAAAAAGAAGGATACTAAAATAAAATAACTACCACAGAATTGTTTTTCAATAAATTAAGATTTGATGCGTAAAAATACTACGAACTAGATGCCTAAGATCCTATAAAAATCAAAATTATCCTAAATACTTTAAAGTATTTTTGATTTTTTAAGCGTTTTCTTTAGCAACTTTTGCTTACCTACAAACTAAATCAAGTTATATTTACTCAACGAAATTTTATAATCATCGAAGTTTTATTACCATATCAGAGTCAGTTATATAAATTTTATTCTTTCTAATTTTGTACTATTATTACTAAATTCTTACAAAATATTTTATTAATAATTAGAATATTATCAACCAAAATGAGTGTTATTTTTTAAGTATATTAATTATAGTTAGGTAAATAATTCAAATATAAGTATGCAAATTTTATACCATTCATAATTACGTGTAATATACGTAGTAACAAATCGGTTAAGAGTGTTAAGACTTAAAAACCAAGAGATTATCAATAATTTACAAATTTCAATATTAAAGACGATAAAGTGAAATAAATTATGAAGAAGTCTTTTATTCATTAGGTAGAAGTACCTGCTATTGTACTTAAGTTTAAGAATTAAAATTAAACACAATTTTCTCTTATTTTTAAAAGAATGTAAAAATTACTTTTCTAATATCAACAAAAATGTCATTAGAGCATATTATATGCTTATTAATATTTACTAACATATTTACCAATGATTAACCTACTCGTTTATTTTATTTCCTTACAGAATACAGACGTTGTGGTTTTATATTAGATTAGTTTATATAGGTAAACGTAGACTTGTATAGTTTTTAATATTTTATTAATGTTAATATCTTTAGTTAAGTATAGTTATTACTTATTACTGTTTTATTTATGATGCATAAGATAGTGGTATGTAATAATAATTTAGATAAAAAATATAAAAATATATATATTTTTAATTTTTAAAATTTCGGTAAGTAACCAGCATAAGTACTAAAATTAGTTTATAGGCAAAATATTATAGTATACTCCAAAACAAAATCACCACTATTAATATAGTTATGCCAATAAAATTGAATTGAGTCTGACTCTTAAAAATTAAATAAGTACATGAATATATAATTTAGGTACTCATATTTTGCAACAAGTAATAAAATTTGCATTTGATTTTTATATATTAATGCATATAAACTTATAATTTTAAAATACGTTCAACCATTTCATTTTTTGTAATAACTGTTTTTATTATTTTATAGTTTATACAGTTTATAAATAAAATTCCTGATGAAAGAATTAATAATTTAATATCGTATTACTTTTTTTCAAAAGATCTTAATTATTATAGGAAGGTAAAGATATTAAGGTTTTTTTTTTTCATTTCGGGGAGAAACTATTTGACTATAAAAAATATGTATAAAATTACCAAACATCCTATGTTATTTACTTATACTTATTGTACTTACTTGTTTGGAACGATAAAAACAAGAATAATTAGTTTATGCTTTCACATTCCAATTTTTTTATAATTTGAAATTTTTCTTATTACTTCATATTTACATCTGAATTAATTATTTTATATTTAATTAATTAAAAAATGTTTATTTCAATATTTACATTATAATATGTGATGGATAACGATTGTTTTCATAGAATCAAAAATTGAAATAAATTATGAAAGTAATTGTAATGTAAAATTTAAGATTAAAAGCTACAAAAAAAAAAAAAATATATTAATATTATAATATCTATAGTTTATTGCAAAAAATAATTTTTTTCATTTATTTTATAAATGTTCAAGATTGAAACTGTCAATCCAATAGTTATAAATATTTGAAAGAAACACGAAAAACAATAAAGGGAAACGCTTAAATAGATATTGATTATTATGATAATCACCATTCACCATAGATTTAAATTCAGGTTATACACTAGGAAATTCAAAGAAATGTTAGTGCGATAATTTTGAAAATTGGAGGATGATTACAACATAACCAAGAGCCACTCGGTCATTTGACACGGTTGTTTGTTTCGCTTATGATTAGCCCAGATCGTTTTTCTTCCGTAAGTCCTCTGTATTTGCTCCATAAAACACATTATGTTCTATCACTATTTACTTTATGACCTATGTAATATGCTTTACGTGTTGTTTAGAAAAACAAAAAAATTGTTGTTTTTTTGTCATCAAGAAGGAGTATTGTTACGTATTGTATTTCAATTACATAGTATTTAATTTATATTTAACAAATAGATAATATAATTGATATAATCACTATGGCGTAACAAAAAATATTTAAAAAATGTAAAGTCTTAATTATTAAACTATAAATTTTAGATTATTAAGTTCTTGATTTAACTATGAAATTATTTAAGGGAAATTTCCCTTGACTAATATGTAATGTATGTAGAATAAAGTATTAAACAGAATCATAATATGATTGTAAAATGTATTATATAATTTAAATAAAATTAAAGAAACATTTTAAAATTCTTTATTTTTTTATCTATAATAATATTATTTTCAATTTTATCTACATGACTAAGGTATATGTATAGATACTCAAATACGTATTTTATTTGGTCATATTAATGTATAGTAGTATGTATAAAACATATAGTTAAGTATTTATACAATTTATTATTATTAAATATTATGCATGTAAATTGTGAAGAATATATTTTAGTGTAAATGTGTAATAGTAATAGCATTTTACGTATTACTCATCAAATAAGTATGAATTATATATGTCAGTAAATTTAGGGTTTGGTATACCCCAGCATGAATTTTTTTGAACATCATTTAAAAAACATTTAAAAGCAAATTATTTAATATAAACATATTATATAGTATCATATTGCATATGATTTTTTTTAAATTTTAATCTGGTTTTACAGGGTTAGTAGGATGTTGGGCAATTTCAACTGAAACTCGATGTAAATTTCCTGGTGCACCAGCACACTCAACTGTATCGTTTTCGAATGATACCTTAAGCATTGGTACAATAGCTACGTATACTTGCGAAAGAGGATTTGAACTCTTAGGACCAGCAAGGAGAGTATGTGAATCTACTGGCGAATGGCTACCTGAAGGAATACCATTTTGCGGTAAGTTTTATCTTCTTTTATTAATTTTGATAAATATATAGAATATAGATACATATATACATAAAATATAGCTAAATAACCATATCAATTAAAAATGTCAATGATGTTTATGATCTAGAACTATTTTTCATATATTTCGAATTTTTGATTCATTTTTAATCGATTAAAAATTGAATTCGGCTTTGTAAAAGATAGGGACATTTTATATTTTTAAACTATTTATACGACTAGAAAGTCTTCGAACTTATTCTATATTCAACGATTACTTTCCTTATTATTATTAATTTTCCATGTAGGTAGTAACAATTGATTATTATAGAAGAACTATTTTTTTACAAATAATATTTTTTCATTATACATTTTTAGCAAACATTGTATTAATCTTTTGTTGTGTTTTGAACTTTCTCTCGCGTTTATAAGCAATAAGCAAGATCAAAATAAGATTTAATTATTTTTGAATACTGTAACATTTTTTAAAAATAATATAAATGTCGGTAATATATACAGTATATTTTATTACAAATTGATACGCTTATAACTTTTATAATGTAACTTAATATAGTGTGTAACGTTTATATTGTAAACTCTATGTATATATTATAATACAATATAGATAAATTTAGCAAGCGAATGATGGGATGATGTATGTATATCATCCAGTTTATGTTGACAAAAAACACGATGATTCTTTAGAAAAATTAGTATATACCGTTGGCCAAGATCATAAAAAAAAATATTATGATTGTCGTCGGTTAGAATCATACAAAGTGGGAAATTATGCTCATAAATTTAATGCTCCGTGAAAAAGTATATTTTCATGAGTAAAAAAATATGGAATGTATTTTATAACAATAGTATACTGCTGATACTTCGACAGATTTTAATACCGTAAAAAATTGTAGTAGGTATATGTTATCCACAACAGCAAAATACCGATTAAAAAAATATTTCCTTGTAAAAATAATCTGTAAGCCTTAAGCAGCATACCTATTTAGCGTAACTATTTTAAACAAGCTCTTGAAATAGAGATTTAATATTGATAGTTTATTTACCCTAGGAAATTATTTATATTTTGATTAACATATTTTCTAAAAATGAACGCACCTTAGGTATAATGTAAGTTTGAAAGTAAAATTGTTTTAAGATAATTCTTAAGTTTAAAGATATTTAAAGAATTACACATCCATATAATGTCGTTACAAAAGTTATACCTACAATTTATTTATATATAGATAAATGGTAAATCTTTTATATTTTTTAATTAATTTTATTCGTAGGTACCTCTTATTTAAATAAAATTAAAATTAAAAGTTTAAAAATTGAATGGTAGATTTTAAAGAAAAATATAATATTATAGTAACCAATTTATTGTATAAATCACCTTACTATACCTACTATATATTTTATAGTAATTTCATATAAATTAAAAAAAGTGTAAAAATTCTGAATTTGAATATGCTGTATCATAATATATTGTATTTCATACGTACCTACTTACTGAAAATATAAATACGAAAATCATATAGATTTACCTATGAAAACATTGAAAAAGTTAACACATTTTTAGTTAGGTGCTTACTTTTTATTTTCATCTAATGTAAGAAGTGAAAAGCTATTGAATATGACCCGATTATAACTTCCAAAGTGGGTGACGTATTCATTACTGTGACCCCTTCGATTTGTGGGGCCGACACCATTATAACATTATAACTGCAATATTCTATCGTGGGACAAACCAATACATGTACTCAATGGTATAACACTATAAGATATACATGGAACATGCACACACACACACACACACACAAACACACATAAATAAAGAACCTGTTTATTTGACTTACAAAGTCACTATAATCTTGCCACGTTGAACGATAAATTAAAATAATCACAGTCGAGTAGAAAAGTATGTGTGTTAAAAACAGTGGCTAAGATATTTGAATCTACATACAATACTGGCATATTGAAATCGAAAATGAGGCACAATGAGAACATCGACAAAGGCGCGTGCACTTATTATCTTATTGATATTTGATGACACATATAACATATTTTCTCGATCAAACACGACATTAATTTTATGTCACACACTCACGAGACAATCCTTTTGTCACCGTGATGAATTTAAACACATGTTATTATTATGGTACTTTGCGTGTTATGTACACGCTAATACGTGGCCCAATTTTTTCGGACATACTTCTACGTCTTCCCATATTATAATAGTCATAATACCGCTATTACAACGGTAAACTACACCTTCTCGCCTGCGTCTCGTTTCATTCCACCGCACGTTTAGATCTGACAATCAGCACCCATCGTTGCATGATAATTGTCAATTGGCATGAGTAATCAATGAGTTTACCAAATCATTATCAAGGCAGCAATCATTCAAAATTCAATAGTCGTTTGTTTTTTCTCCACCTTAAAACTCCAACAGTCCTTATAAGTGTAGGGACTTATTTTTATTATCAAATGAAAATATCAAATTCACGTATTACAATAATGGGCAAGGCCATTTAGGGATAATTAACATTTTATTGTTTGACAAATAGGAGATTATAACTGTTTTAATTGAGAAAGTTTGAACTTTACGATAAAAATGTTAACTCTTTTTTTTTGACGTCAGTTGTTTTTAAAATTCTCACACAATTAAAAAATATTTAACTAAATTTTTTATGTTAGGTAAACCCTTGCAATTTAGTTAATTGTTACAATTAAAATTTAAAATATCGTAGTATTTATTCTTAAAAGTAAAACGGGTGATAAAAAAAATAAATAGATCTACAATATATAAAATTATAATAAATATTACATTAGCAATTACCTATGTAAAACAAAAATGTAATACATTTTAGTATACTGTACTAAAATATAGCTATATAACGCCGTATATAAGATTATATTATAGCGTTGGTTAAACTATTTATAACCAATGATAATAGTTATATAGTATTTCATATTTTAATTGGTTTTCAAATATAATAATTATTGTACAATGTGTTATTTATAAACTAGCTAAATAAAATAATAAATATAGTTAATGTATGTAAACTATGTCTTTGCTTTTACAAACAGTTAGGTAAGGGTAATAGACCATTATGTTTGCATTATTATTTTTAATAATAATGGTACTTTATTTATTTTATGAATTTTTCTTTAAATTCGATTCAGTATATTATGAAGATGTGCCTAACTACCTTCCTATTATTAAATATAATTGAATAACAGAAAAATATGTAGTTTTAATAATACATATATATTGAACATAATATTCAAAATATATGGGTAGGTAAACAATGTCTTTTTTTTTTAGAAGTCATCTGAGCGTTATAAATCCGTAAGATTCGTACTATAATTGACCATTTAAATAGTACATGGATAATGAATTTACCTATGTCGGATAAGCGTGGTCTCTTAACCTCAATATATGCTATTGTGTAGTAGAAATGCGTATAAGTAACTAATGTTTTATATTTACACAAGATAAATTTAAATAATTGTTTTATTTAATAGTAAATATACTATAAACAAAAAAAAAAAATTATTTTATTCCATATAATAATTATTAATTTATAATGATTCTTTATCTTAAAAAAAATTAATTTATTCAAATGTAAAATTAATAATTATTTATGTATTAATGTAATTTTAAAACAGTAATCAAAGTGGTCTTCAAAGTTTTATAGGAATGTTGTGTTGATAGAGGTTGTAGTCTACTTATTATTACCTAGATTACAGTATTTCTTTTAATGCGGCAGAATATGAGCTATGATAGAGTAAACATAAACAAACAATTTTAAAGAGTGTGTGTAACGCATCGATGAACTAAGTTTTAAAGATTATACTTCACTATATTACCCTTATAGTTTATTAAATCATACAATACATTTAAAATACTTTTGATACCATGGTGGATATAGATATCTACTATAGTTTACAACACAAATATAGTGATTTATTTTTAGAAAATAAAATTGGAATTAATTTAATGTGTAGGTAATTAAAATTCAAATGAAGACAAGTAGATTAAACTTAGATTACGAATTAATAAGTAGGATGTTGGATAAGTCATTAAGTCAATGCATACAATGCATGATTATAAAATTTTCATTGGTATTGAAAATAAATCAAATAACAATAAAGATGAAGAATTTTTAGGTACAGTTTTACATATTTTCTTGTATTACTATGTAACATGTAATAATAATAATTAACCTAATATAAATGGATAAAATAAAGAATAACATCTTAAATATATTATACAAAAAATAATGCCATTTAAATTATGATGAAATTATTAACTATTATAGTATTATACCTACAACTATTGTTAAGAATATCAATATATTTTGTATAAAATCTATGTAGAAGTTATTATTTAAAATATGTTAGTAGAGAGTGATTTTTGCTTCAATACATTTAACTATTTTATTTTTGTGTAGGTATCTATGTAAGTACTTAGTATACTTATATAACTGTTTAAGTAATATAAAGTGTACAATTAGTCAACAAACCAAAATTATAAAATGTAAAACAATTACTATTATGCAATAGTCCTTTTATGTTAGACCGCATGATGAGGCTGATATAGTAATGTTTAAAAACATTAAGTTGTATTAACAATTTTCCAGTAGTATAATATACATGAAACTACAGCTTAAGATAAAAAATAATAATACATAACCATATTTATTTACATTGGGCCATTTTGTGCCAAATTAACGGTGCTTGGGAGACGAACCAATATTACACAAACAATACGTGATCTTTCTATATTTGTGGGTAAAAATGTAGGTCCTGACCGCTTTTCAACTTCTAATGGGCAACGTATATCATGAATTAAAAACAAGTTAAGCAGCCGCATTGTATTTAATAATAAATATATTAGAATCGTGATGGACAATACGTGCGAGAATTCGCCTTTATAAACAAAAATGAAATAAGTATTTTTCAATATGGTAGTCAGTGATAACACATAAATTGGTAACGGTGTAAAA